CTGGCCACCCACCCCCTCGTGTACCGTTCCGGCCTTCACAGGTGCTGCTCGCTAACAGCACTTGCCCCAACAGTCTGTTAAGGCTACACGGGGGATCTTTGTCTTTAATAATAGAGAGGGTTTTTCCTACTTTTTTCTTGCAACAAAACTGAAACTTTTTTTTCTGAGGATTCATGTTTACTTCATTAACCACAATACCTGCAGTCAAAATGCAAACAAAAAACATACTATGATAATATATATGATTCATTGTCCTTGACACTGATTGGTCCACACCAAGGGGACGGCTTTCTTTAGAGCCTCGACCCAATTGGTGCTCGACCAGATGACGCCAAAAGGCGCTCACACAGCTCAAAGGCAACGCCGCTAGCAAAGTAATGAGGGCTCGGGGTGAGCATCTACATCATCATTAGACCTCCTTTGCCACTACCAAAAAAACATACAACGCATCAAATATTATCATAGTGTGTGTGTGTTGTTTTTCGTGTTTGCATTTTGACTGTAGGTATTGTGGTTAACGCGGTAAACATGAAACCTCGTAATAAAAAGGTTTCAGTTTTGTTGTCAGAAAAAAGGGGAAAACCCCTATTGTTATTATTATTACATTTTGGTAGTGGCAAAGGAGGTCTAATGATGATGTAGATGCTCACCCCGAGCCCTCATTACTTTGCTAGCGGCATTGTCTTTGAGCTGTGTAAGCGCCTTTTGGCGTCATCTGGTCGAGCACCAATTGGGTCGAGGCTCTAAAGAAAGCCGTCCCTTGGTGTGGACCAATCAGTGTCAAGGACAATGCATCATCAATATATATTATCATAGTATGTTGTTTTTTTGTTTTAAGCTTTCGTGACTGCAGTGATTCATATTCTTGGCTCTTTCGGTAAAGTCACCACGTTGAAGGGAAACAATCAAATAATAAAAATATATATTTCGATTTAAAGCTTTCGTGACTGCAAGGATTCATCTTCTTTGGTTCTTTCGGTAAAGCCACCACGTAGAATGAGAATAAAATAATAACACAATAATATAATATTATAATATTAATAATATTATATTATAATAATTTTATAATATTGTGTTATTTTATTTTATCAATTTATTTTATTCTCATTCAACGTGGTGACTTTACCGAAAGAACCAAAGAAGATGAAAAATATATTATTTTATTGTTTCCCTTCAACGTGACATTACTGAAAGAACCAAGAATATAGAATGTTTTTGTGTTTGCATTTTGACTGCAGGTATTGTGGTTAACGCGGTAAACATGAATCCTCGGTAAGAAGGTTTCAGTTGTGTTGCCAGCAAAAAAAAGGGGAAAACCCCCTTTTATTATTATTATTATTATATTTTGGTACTGGCAAAGGAAGTCCAATGATGTGAGATCTTCGTCACCACGCTTGGGGGGGGGGGGGGATGGATCTCCGACCCTCCAGGAGCAGGTTTGCAGATTTGCTGAGCATTTATAGCGAGGTCTTGGGGGCAAGGGCAAAATCCCCCAGCCTGGAAAAAAACATCTTGGGGGAGGGGGGAAAAAGTGGGGATGACCCTGCTGAGAATGGAGGTCGAAGTCTCCCCCTGTGAGTGGCCGGCTGAGGTGCCATCTGTCGAGGAAGTTCTGAAGGCGATCCGGAGTCTGAAGCCAGGAAAAGGCAGCGGGCAGAGATGATCTCCCGAGCGAAAATGCTGAGGGAGGGTGGCGTTTGTGCACAGACTGCCCTATATGACATCATAACAACAGTCTGGACCACTGGATGGGTTCCGCAGGATTGGAAGGATGCCCTGGTGGTCCCCCTCTTTAACAAGAGGGCCTGCACAGATTGTAACAACTACAGGGGCATCTCACTCCTCAGTGTGCCGGGAAAGGTCCTGGCAAGGATTATTCAGCATCGCCTTGCCAGGCACGCTGAGGAGAGGCTTGCGGAGCCCCAATGCGGTTTCAGGAAAGGGCGGTCCTGCACAGATGCCATATTTTCTGTCCGTCTGCTACAGCAGAGGTGTAGGGAATTCCAACAAGGCCTACATCTCTGCTTTATTGACCTGGTCAAGGCCTATGATACCATCAGTAGGCCTGGGCTCTGGGTCGTTCTTCGTGCTTTTGGAGTACCTGACCCTCTGCTCACGATCATTAAGGACCTTCATGATGGTGAGCGGCCCGGGTAAGTCCCATCGGCGAGCTCCTCCGGCAGGCAAGGCTGCTTTGGCTGGGTCATGTAGCCCGCATGCCCAGCCACCGCATGCCCAAACAGCTTTTGTTCGGCCAGATAGAGGGGGCTAAATGGACATGGAGCTGAGCGGACTTGCCGATGACTGGTACCAGCGGTGTCAAGATCGGCCTCTGTGGAGGAGGCTCGTGAAGGACGCTACTGGGCAGTTGGAGGCAGTCGCCCTCCAACAACAACGGAGGGCGGAGGAGCGACGCTCACAACAACGAGCGGAGCGCCGGGTGGCTAAAGCACAGCAGGTTGGCACAGTAGGGGGCACAGGTGGTGCATCAGCCAGTCATCTCAGTCAGTCGACCCGTGGCACCTGGGTCTGCCCTGTGACCTCCTGCCAGCGGGCGTTCGACACTTCACGTGGCCTGAAAGTGCACATGGCCTGGCACAAGCGAATGGCGGTTGTTGTCTGTGTCTGTGTCTTTGTGTACTCTCTGCTCTAACCCTCTCATCTTTTCTCCCACCCACCAATCTACCCACCCATCTACCCATCCACCTACCTACCCACTCACCTACTCATCCACCCACCCAACCATATATCCACTCACCCACCCACTCACCCATTCACCCACCCATCCAGTCACCCACCCACACCATCTACCCACCCTTCCACCTGCCCACCCACCCATCTACCCACCCACCCATCTACCCACCCACCCATCTACGCACCTGCCCATCTACCCACCCATCTACCCACCTGCCCATCTACCCACCTACCCACCCACACCACCTGCCCACACCATCTACCTACCCACCCATCTACCCACACCACCTACCTACCCACCCATCTACCCACACCATCTACCTACCCACCCATCTACCCACACCACCTACCTACCCACCCATCTACCCACCTACCCACCCACACCACCTGCCCACACCACCTACCTACCCACCCATCTACCCACCCACCCATCTACCCACCCATCTACCCACACCACCCACCCACCTACCCACCCACCTGCCCACCCACCCACCCACCTACCCACCCACCCACCTGCCCACCCATAACTGTCCCCTCCCCGCCCTAGACGCTGGCCACCACTCACGGCGTCGTGCTACCGAAGTCCTCGGCGGCGTCGTCGTCGTCGTCGGCGTCGCCCGGGCGGAGCGAGGAGGCGGCGGAGGCGGCGGAGGCGGTGGAGGCGGTGGAGGCGGTGGAGGCGGCGGGGGGCTCCCTCCCGGCGTTCGCCCTCTTCAGGCAGCGTGTCCGCCTGGAGACGCTGGGCGCCCCGCCGCCGGCGGCCCTGAGCGAGAGGATCCGGCGGCTCGTCGCTCCTGCACAGGAGGAGGCAGAGGCCACCGCCGCGGCCGCCTCCACCGCCTCCACCGCTGCCTCCACCGCCTCCTCCGTCGTCACCGCGGCACAGCAGGAGGCAGACCCCACGGATATCCCTCGTGGATACGTGAGCACGGGGTGGGGGGGGGGTGAGGGTGGGGGGAGGGGTGAGGGGGGAGGGTGGAGGGGTGAGGGGTGGGGGGGAGGGGTGAGGGGTGAGGGGGAGGGGGGGAGGGGGAGGGGTGAGGGGGAGGGCGGAGGGGTGGGGGGGGAGGGGTGAGGGGGGAGGGTGAGGGGTGGGGGGGGAGGGGTGAGGGTGAGGGGTGAGGGGGAGGGTGGGGGGAGAGGGGAGGGGTGAGGGGTGGGGGGGGAGGGGTGAGGGTGAGGGGTGAGGGGGAGGGTGGGGGGAGAGGGGAGGGGTGGGGGGGGGAGGGGTGAGGGGGGAGGGTGAGGGGTGGGGGGGGAGGGGTGAGGGGGGAGGGGTGAGAGGTGGGGGGGAGGGGTGAGGGGTGAGGGGTGAGGGGTGAGGGGTGAGTGAGAGGGGGGTAAGAAGGAGTGGGTGAGGGGGAGGGAGTGGGTGGATGATGATTGTCGCTGTGACTGATGACGAATCCCATCGCCATGACGACAACGACGCCCATCGCCATGACGACGACGACGCTGCCCGTTGCCGTGACGACGACGCTGGCCGTTGCCGTGACGACGACGCTGGCCGTGCCCTCTGTGTTGGCCGCTGCAGGTGGAGCTGAACGCGTTGGTGAACCTGGCCGGCTGCGAGTGCCTCAACAGTAGCGATGAGCACGGCCTGGAGAACTCCCTGGCCAGAGACGACTCGTTCCTGGAGTCCGACTGTGACGAGCAGGTGGGGGGGCAGGGGGGGGAGGAGTGGGGGGGGGTTTATGAGTGGGGGGGGTGGGTGGGTGGGTGAGTCTGTGGGTGGGTGGATGAGTGAGTGGGTGGGTGGATGAGTGAGTGGGTGGATGAGTGAGTGGGTGGGTGAGTGAGTGGGTGAGTCTGTGGGTGGATGGGTGGATGAGTGAGTCTGTGGATGGGTGGGTGGGTGGGTGGATGAGTCGGTGGGTGAGTGGGTGGGTGAGTGGGTGGATGAGTGGGTGGGTGGATGAGTGGGTGGGTGGGTGGATGAGTCGGTGGGTGGGTGGATGAGTGGGTGGATGAGTGGGTGAGTGGGTGGGTGGGTGGATGAGTCGGTGTGTGGGTGGATGAGTGGGTGGGTGGATGAGTGTGTGGGTGGGTGGGTGGATGAGTGGGTGAGTGGGTGGGTGGGTGGATGAGTCGGTGCGTGGGTGGATGAGTGGGTGGGTGGATGAGTGTGTGGGTGGATGAGTGTGTTGGTGGATGAGTGGGTGGGTGGGTGGATGAGTGGGTGGGTGGATGAGTGGATGGGTGGGTGGATGAGTCAGTGGGTGGATGAGTGTGTGGGTGGATGGATGAGTGGGTGAGTGGATGAGTGGGTGAGTGGATGAGTGGGTGGGTGGATGAGTGGGTGGGTG